AAAATAATGGTTACGTTTTAAGTTTTATTTTTTGCTCGGAAAATAATCGTTACGTTTTAAGTTTTATTTTTTGCTCGGAAAATAATAGTTATTTCTTGAGTTTTATTTTTTGCTCAGAAAATAAAACTTAATTTTTGCGTATGCGTATGCGCTTTTTTGCACTTTTTCTTTAGAAATGTAGTTCTTTTTGTTTCTGCCCTGGTATCTGTATTTTCATTACCCACTCCACAGTGGCGTTAAAGGTTCAATGCAGCCGCCCCTATCTATTCACGCATGCGCATGCGCATACGCACAAATTAAGTTTTATTTTCTGAGCAAAAAATAAAACTCAAGAAATAACGATTATTTTATGCGCAAAAAATAAAACTTAAAACGTAACGATTATTTTCCGAGCAAAAAATAAAAATTAAAACGTAACCATTATTTTCCGAGCAAAAAATAAAACTTAAAACGTAACCATTATTTTCCGAGAAAAAAATAAAACTTAAAACGTAACCATTATTTTCCGAGCAAAAAATAAAACTTAAAACGTAACCATTATTTTCCGAGCAAAAAATTAAACTTAAAACGTAACCATTATTTTCCGAGCAAAAAATAAAACTTAAAACGTAACTTGATTTTTATAAGTAAAAATTAAAAAATAAAAATCAGTGCCGCTGAAGGTGCTCCGAGTAATAAGAAATATATTGGTTTACTCCTTATGCACGTAGCATTTTTCTTTTCGCGTGATTTTTTGAGTTGAAATTTCAAAGAATAATCGTTATTTGCGGTCCCTGGTTTTAAATTATTTGATATGCATTGCTTAACTTTTACGAATATTTCGTTAATAAAATTCATAACGTTTTTTGAACTTATTGCTTCCATTTTCAAACCTTTGAATAGTGAATTGGCTAAGGTTTTAAAAGCGTTTGAATCAAAAAATTTCAGAGGTCGAGCTTCTTTGGTAATCATATAGATGTAAGCATCTACTATCTCAGTTTGCGACATGTCTTTATCTCTCTTTGAAACTCTGCAATGCTTGTTTTACTCGGCAAATATATCCGCATGGGAGGCATATGCACTTTTTAAATTGGTTATGCCGCCACAATTGGCAACTTTATTGCAGATTTTACATTTAGTTTCACCTTCAGTTTCAACGTAATATTCGCGAATGTAAATAGTCATTTTCCGACCCATTTTAAATAAATTTTAGTAAAAATAATGCACAATAGTTCAAAAAGTATGTGCGTTTGTAATGTGCAGTGACCAGGGACCGCAAATAACGATTATCCTTTGAAATTTCAACTCAAAAAATCACGCGGAAAGAGAAATGCTACGTGCATAAGGAGTAAACCAATATATTTCTTATTACTCGGAGCACCTTCAGCGGCACTGATTTTTATTTTTTAATTTTTACTTATAAAAATCAAGTTACGTTTTAAGTTTTATTTTTTGCTCGGAAAATAATGGTTACGTTTTAAGTTTTGTTTTTTGCTCGGAAAATAATCGTTATTTCTTGAGTTTTATTTTTTGCTCAGAAAATAAAACTTAATTTGTGCGTATGCGCATGCGCATGCGTAAATAGACAGGGGGCGGCTGCATTGAACCTTTAACGCCACTGTGGAGTGGGTAATGAAAATACAGATACCAGGGCAGAAACAAAAAGAACCACATTTCTAAAGAAAAAGTGCAAAAAAAGCACATACGAATACGCAAAAATTAAGTTTTATTTTCTGAGTAAAAAATAAAACTCAAGAAATAACTATTATTTTCCGAGCAAAAAAAAAAACTTAAAACGTAACGATTATTTTCCGAGCAAAAAATAAAACTTAAAACGAAACCATTATTTTCCGAGCAAAAAATAAAACTTATAACGTAACCATTATTTTCCGAGCAAAAAATAAAACTTAAAACGTAACCATTATTTTCCGAGCAAAAAATAAAACTTAAAACGTAACGATTATTTTCCGAGCAAAAAATAAAACTCAGTTAATAACGATTAAAAAGTGATTTTTATAATAAAACTTATAACCGTTACGGTCCCTGGTAGTGACAAACAAAGCAAAGGCAAATGAGACATTGGGTAGGTTCAGAAGGCGCAGCAGTTGAGCGCAACCGTTGCTAAAAATATCAGTGATCGTTATGCGTCTTCTGAACGGCTTGATGCATTAGCTGTCAAATTCAACTCTCAACAACATGTTGTTTCTAATGATCAGAAAAATATTACAATCATATAACACGCAACTGTTCAGTTGATCAGAAGTACACAACAACGCGTTCAGAAGGTGCAATGGCAACAGTTACTGAGCTGTTGCGCCTTCTGGACGTGCCCATTAATGAATAGAATAATTATATTTGTAATACTTTTACACTTACAGCAAACAAATTTTAACTCTTATTTTCGATCGAAGAAATAAGGTCATATTTTATCTCTTTTTTTTTGAGTGAAAAAATAAAAGTAAAGTTTTGACTTTTATATTTGACCGAAAAAATAAAAGTCATATTTTAACTTTTTTATTTGACCAAAAAAATAAAAGTCAAGTGTTAGCTTTTATTTTTCACCGAAAAAATAAGTCATATTTTAACTTTTTTTTTTACTAAAAAAATAAAAGTCAACTTGTAACTTTTATTTTTGACTGAAAACATATCGAAAAAAAAAACTATTATTTTTGACTTTTTTGGAAAAAAGCATAACCGTTACGGTCCCTGTTTAAAAGTGGCGTACGAGGAGGGTTCAAGAAATATTTGGCAAAAAAACGGAACAAAATCGGTCCAGTTTTAGCTGAACTGTAAGGGAACATACACATTTTTAGGCTTTATAATATAATGTTTAGAGATAACATAATTTGGTTTACAGTGACATTTCCTATATCATATCTTGGTATTTAATTATTTTAGGTTCTTTGTATTTCACCCACATACGAACTAGCAATTCAAACGGGGGAGGTTGCTGCTAGAATGGCGCAGTTTTGTCCAGATATTAAACTAAAGTTTGCAGTCCGTGGCGAAGAAGGTACGTAAAGCCAACTCTTGCTTTGAAAAACAGCTTTATTATTTTTCTTAAATCATTTAAGTTACTCATAATTGCAAGCTAAAGGATCACATAGTTATTGGGACACCTGGAAAAATATTAGATTGGGGATTAAAATACCGCGTTTTCGATTTGAAAAAAATACGAGTATTTGTTCTGGATGAAGCTGATGTAATGATTGCAACGCAAGGCCATCATGATCAATGCATTCGCATCCATAAGTAAGTACGTTTTTTTTTTAAATTTACCATTGCGAAATATTGTTCATGAGATAAATGGGCTGCTAAAAATGTATATGTAGAGCGTGTTTAATAAGAGGTGTCACACTTAGTTTTTTTGAATAACAACTTTATTTCGAATAACACGGTGCTACAAAAAAAAAGTCATGAAATACATCCGAAACAATACTTAGTGTATTTTCGTACTTGATGCACTTATCTATTAATTGCTTGACTATTTTCCATCCGATTTTACAAATCGAAAAAGTTTTGAAAGGAGGATTTATATACCTTTAAAATGATGTATAACAATATATTGTTCGTTTTAGCTTGTTGGGAGTTTTCATCGGTTAAATTTTTATGAGCTCCTATTTTTCTTCATTTTTTTGTACTTTGCTCATCGCTTATTCCAAAAATGTCTATGAAAGTTGCCAAATATGTGGTATTTATCTAAAAGAACATTTATTTTCTAAAATAGTCAATCACTTTGCAAACGTCAAGCTGTGAGGTTGTACTTATATTGTGCACTGATTTTGGCTTTCTATTTGCTAAATTTATTGTGCTAATTCTGAGTTAAAGTAGTGATAAAAAGTGCCTATGAGCATCTTAGTGTGAAATAATTTAAGCTAAGTGAAAGTTATTGTGTTTTATATTAAACTAAATTTAATTAAATTTCACTAGCATACATTCTAATGTTGCCGAGTCATTTGCTGCTATCATTGTTGTTGTATTCTTTGTAGTTAACTGAATTTATTTTGTTTTTGCACATTTGTTTTTGCACATTTGTTGTACTCTTTTTGTTTACTTCTTCTAGTAATTCTTGTCACAGCTGTTTGCGTTGCATTTATTAAGTGTCATAATTACAGTGATACTCAAACTGTTCGCTACATTTATTTAAAGCTATTTACATCAGCTCCTTAATTGTTATAATTTATTTTGTTTCTCTTTTTATTAACGGGTGTTATTACATAAATCTTTCAATATGAAGTGCGATCTTGATACTTGCCACATTAAAAGCGATTCTGAACGCTACTTATCGTGCTGGCTGTGTGATGGTATTTACCATCTGAAATGTGCTGGTTTGACGGGAAGAATTCTGGACGCTATTAATGATGGCAAGGGCCTTCGCTGGTCTTGCGTAAAGTGCAGATCAACCGAAGTTGATCTTTTCAAGCTATTTAGGCAAACCAGAGATGGTTTTACAGAAATAGGAAGGGAATTGTCAGTACTGACAGAAAAATTTAAGCATTATGAAAATGTGTTTAAATCATTCAAATGCTTAGATACCTTGCAATCTGTTAAGGATATCCGTGTGTCTAAACGAAAGCGTCTTCATAGTCCATCTAAGGAAATTATTGCCGTTGCACGTCAGAATAATCTTCCGACTGACTTAATTAATCTATCTTCTCCATGTCCTCCAGCATCAGAAACCTCAGCCCCAAAAGAGCGTGTAACGAAATCTGCTTCGGATAATAACGAGCCTGAAGTATCTTCCCCTTCCCCCATAGAAGTGGTGGCGTCGTCTTCAGAACATCCACCGCCTTCCCTATCCTCAACTAGTAACGCAGTAACTCAACCCCTTCCGCCGGTACTCCAGTCTGATACAAGGAAACTAGTTGTGGTTTTCGAGAGACACTTCCGAAGACGATATAAAGCTTTATATCTCATCAGAAATTACAACTGTCGACTTAAGCATCAGAAAATTTAATTTTAAATACGAAAGAAATATTGCTTCATTTAAAATTGAAGTAAATTTAGATAATTTTAATGCGCTGCTTAGTAGTTCTTTTTGGCCCCCCAGAGCTTTCGTTCGTGAATTCGAATATAGGCCCAAAAAAGGAAATAACTTAGTTAATATTCCCCGTCATAACACTGAATCAAAAAACTAATTATTAAATCTGCTTTAAGTATTTATTACCAAAATGTAAGAGGCTTAAATACTAAATTAACGAACTTATACCTTAAAGGCCTTGAATGTAATTATAATATTCTTTCTTTCACTGAAACTTGGCTGAAACCTCACATTTTCAGTTCAGGGATGCTTCCCAATGATTATCATATCTAATAGACAAGATAGGGAGGACAGAATCGGCGGTGGCGTACTCTTCGCTGTAGACTCTTCAATACCATCTGAAGAAGTTAGTCTTCCACACATTGATTCAGTAGAATTCAAATGCATTCGTGTACAGGTTGGAAAAGGGTATATTTACTTAGCTCTTTGCTATATCCCTCCCCGATCTGACACATCGGTGTATTCACGACTCATCTCTTTACTGAAATAAGTTAATTTACTGACTAAACCCTCTGATTCAATGATTGTGTTGGGTGATTTTAATTTACCAAGCATATCATGGCACATCATTGACAATGATATCGTACCTTTCGCGTCTAGTGCGTGCAACAACGTATTTTTAGAGGAGATGGCTGAACTCTGCCTAACTCAGGTTAATGTACTTCACAATAAGTTTGGTAAAGTATTAGATCTTGTTTATGTTGATGAGGCATCTAAGTCCGTTTTAAATAAGTGTGATCCACTAGTTTTGCCCGAAGATGTCTACCACCCTGCTATGGAGATATCTTACGAAGGTATAAGTGATGGTCAAAATTGCGGTACCCAAGCATACGAAGCAAATATTCGCTTTGATTTTTCGAAAGCCAACTTTAAAAAGCTTATCAAAGAACTGTCTAAATTGTCGTGGCCTGCATATAAAGAAAATATTGAACAAAGCGTTGCCCTTTTTTAACTTTACTTTACATAAATTATTTGAAAAGCATGTGCCTAAACGCGTATATGTTCCTGAAGAACAAACACAGTAATGATTCACTAAAGAACTGAGAAATTTGAAAAACAGAAAGTCACGTTATTTTATATTATACAATAAAACCGGTTTACACTCATACTATTATTAAACAAAAAGTGTTATACAGCTTACTTGTGTAAAATCAAACAGCGTATAATATATAACCCCAAATCATTTTATGACTTCGTAAACAATTTCTAACATGTTCGCTCAGTTTTTTAAATCCAATTACTCCATTAACTCACATGCTAACATTGACCATCCTTTTAAACTTTGTCCAATGAACTCAATAAATATCCCTAATATCTCCCGATGATGTAGTAGTTTATCTGAAATCTTTAAAGCAGTCCTTCAGTTATGGTCCTGACCAGATCCCTACTTGTATTCTTATAAATTGTGCTGATTATCTCTATGAGCCGTTAACAGCGTTATTTAATTTGTCTCTTAAAGAGGGCGTTTTTCCAACTATATGGAATAAATCGTTCATAACCCCGTTACATAAAAGCGGTAGCAGATCTTCAGTGGAGAACTACCGGGGAATAGCTAAGCTTTCTGCAATTCCTAAATTATTTGAAGCAATTATAACAAATCAGTTGACGCATTCTATCTCTTCTAGCATTTCATATAGTCAACATGGATTTTGCTAGGGCAAATCAACTTCTACAATAGAGTGGTCCAAAATAATAAAGTCGGAATTTCAATGCCGCCACCCTCTAGGATTGTTCTGAACCGAAAATAAATAAACCCCTATTTTTTTATTTTGAAATCAAAAAATAATTAGGGAGTGCTCACAGCGCTCAAAGTGTTCCATGCCTTTTATATGGGGAAAAAACAAATTTTCGTAATAATGGCATAAAACTCTTGAAAATCAATATTTTTCAATCGTAAAACTGTGGTTCTCTTCAGGAGACTTCAAATATTGATATCCAATTGTTTATTTAACCATTTTTTATGATTAAAGATTTTTTATTGGTCCCCCATTGCATTTTCAAGGACCCATAAAATATAGTCACCATGAAAAAATAGGGGTATAATTTTTTTTGGTATAGAACAATCCTAGGGGCTGGCGGCATTAAAAATGCGATCTTATTTTTTTTACATACATTTTTGGACCACTTTATTCTACAAATTTACTTGAATTAACATCCTATGTCCCAAAAGCATTTAGTGAAAGCAAAACTGTTGATGTTATATATACTGACTTCAGTAAAGCATTTGACAAAGTTTGCCACTCGTTTCTCATCTATAAACTTGATCTTCTCTTCCACCTAATTTTCTACGTTCGATCCCTTCATACTCTATGATAGATCACAAAGGGTAATGTTTAAAAATACTATCTCTGACGTCATTGATGTTACTACAGGATTTCCTCAAGGTAGCCACCTAGGCGCGGTTCTGTTCTTGCTTTTTATAAACGATATTTCTACAGATATACAATTTTCCAAAATTTTAATGTATGCAGATGATGTAAAGCTTTATAAATCGTACGTTTCAATTAAATAAAGGTCTTTGCTACAATCAGACTTAAACAGCATGGCTTACTGGTGTAAAGTAAATCTTATGCCTCTAAGTCTTAAGAAGTGTAAAGTAATGTGCTTCTCGCGAAGAGCTGTTCATCCCTCTTCTTATACAATAGGTAACCATAACCTGGAACAGGTATACAATTTTGTGGTATCACAATGGATCCTAAGCTTAACTTTAATCTTCACATTAATGTGACAGTCAACAAGGCTAGAGGTGTATTTGCATTTGTGAAACGATGGTCAAAAGAATTTTGTGTCCCTTGTATCACTAAAACCCTGTTTACAACATTAGTTAGACAAATTCTGGAATACGGTTCGGTGGTTTGGAATCCAAGGTATCAAATTTACTCAGACAAGAGAGAATCAATTCAAAAACAATTCATACTTTTTTCTTTAAGAAATTTGCGTTGGGATTTACAATATAAGCTTCCGCCTTATACGAGCCGATTAAAACTTATCAATCTTCCTACACTTGCCAGTTGCAGGCAAATGCTTAGTACAATTTTTATATTTAAATTACTAACAGGCTCAATTTCAAGTCCGCTTCTTCTGGGTGAAGTTAGCCCTAATGTTCCCTCCGTATCAAGACACTTTTGTCCCCTATTTATGAAAGCTTGTAAAACTAATTTTGAATTGCATGACCCACTCCGTTGCTTATGCCAGGATTTTAACTCTCATT